GCATGGCCATACATCGCCAAATTCGAGTTATCTGGAATGCCCAAAATTTGACCTTCACGCGCAATATCTGGAAATTTTCACAATTTTGACTGCAGAAATCCGGAAACAGCAGGTCACAAACTCTATTGTGGTTCGCCACCTAGCCAAAGGCTGTATGTATCCAGCCACCAAATTACTCGCTTGTGTACTCATTGCAGGCTGAGAACGAAAGCTCGAAAGTCAAAAAAGCGATTTTTTAGAAGTTTGACCATATAAGGTTATGACTGTCATTTTTTTGGTAACATGAAATCCAGTCTATTTGATATTTTGAGTAGAAGCTTAAGGCTATCTTCTCACGAAGGAACCTCAGCTGAAGAGCTGTTACCTGAATTGTTGTGAAGCTTTGAATCTGCATGTCAAAACGAACTTGTTCATTAGCCAACTAATATTCACCTTTTTTACTTCGACGGTCGTCTTTTTGTATCTTCTCTCTAATTAATGCTTATCAAGTATCATTGGATAGGGCAAAGCAAGCTCTACAAGCTATCAAGAGTCTGCACAAATCGTAATCCACATAAAGTCTTGAGCTGAGATATAGCGATCAAAAGGAATTTTACTATCAAAATCGTATCTCCGCCCCATAAAACCTAGAAAATTCCTTTTTCAATCCAGCATGTGCTTGACACATCGATCATTCAATTATGCAATTTTCGTGTTTTTTGGCTAGAAATTAAGAAAAATTGAATGGAGTAAAATGGCAAACTCCGCCCCTAAAAGTCCTGAGCTCCTCCCACACACGTGATCATATAGCTCATACATACAGAATTACGATCATGTATTTGAAAATTTTGAAGGTGCCCAGTTCTCGAGAAATGCTGATTTTTAAGATAAAAACGGTAAATAATTATGGGACACCCTTACTTCTTGTTGGCGTCTTGATAGGGCTCTTTTAAGCTTTGTGTGTAGAGATAAAATGGAAAAAAAAGATGCCCGAGATTTGTTGATTCTAAGCAGGCTCTTAAAAACAAAACTTTAAAAGAAATAGAACAGTTAACGGCATAAGTTTTCGACCTCTTTTCGCCATTCAAGTAAGCTTTGTGCTGCACATGCTTCTCTATGGGAAATTATGATTTTTGAAAAAAAAGTCATGATCAATTTTCCTAAGTATTAGGTCGGCTAATAATAATTTTTGTGGCTTCTACAAATTGCTGTAGACAATTTTTATCCATTGTTTGATATCCTTGGAAAATTCAATGAGAATTGGAATGTAAATGCTGTTTTAATAGAATCTTTTTTCTTATGAAGAACGGGCAATGAAGTGAGGAACTCCAATTTCCTCAATGTGCGAATCGGGAAAATCTAAATTTTATGATCAAAAAATTTTGGAGTGGCAGAACATAGTCAGTTCTATCTAAATAGAGGAAACTTTGCTGTATCCAAGTATCAATTTACTCCTCTCTACATTCATTGCAGCCTGAAAATGAAGCCTGCAAATTTTCTGGAATGAGCTTTTGGAAATTTTTTCTTACTAAAGCACAACCATTTTTTGCTGATAGTAGAAACTGCTGTTTGATTTATATGTGACTAGCTGGCTTACCCGGCACCGCCGTATCCGGACCAAACTTGGCACACATACACTTCGGGCCCCGGCGGGTGTCACAGTCCACTTTTCGTTATCGATCGATGTCGATTTTACCGATTTTTATCGATTTTTTTGCAGAGTTCACCTACAGGGCTAGGAGTTGGCACAGGGGGGGGGGGGAAGTGAGCATGGGGATTCCGAATACAATATTAGTTTTCAGAATTATCGATTACTTTTATTGATTTTATCGTTTTTTTGTAAAATTTTGACATGCGAGGCTGGGATTTTGCACAGGGGGGTAATCGAGCATGCTGATTACGAACACAATATTAGTTTTCGAGATCGTCCATTACTTTTATCGATTTTATCGATTTTTTTTGTAAAGTTTGACCTGCGGAGCTGGGAGTTTGCACAGGGGGGTAATCGAGCATGCAGATTACGAATACAATATTAGTTTCCAAGATCGTCCATTACTTTTATCGATTTTATCGATTTTTTGAAAATTTGAGCTAGGGGGCTGGAATTTGGCACAGGGGTGTAATCGAGCATGCGGATCACCCCCCTTGGGGTTGATCAGCATGCTCGATTACCCCCCTGTGCCAACTCCCAGCCCCCTAGCTCAAACTTTGCAAAAAAATCGATAAAATCGATAAAAGTAATCGATAATCCTGAAAACCAATATTGTATTCGGAATCCCCATGCTCGATTACCCCCCTGTGCCAACTCCCAGCCCCGTAGCTCAAACTTTGCAAAAAAATCGATAAAATCGATAAAAGTAATCGATAATCCTGAAAACCAATATTGTATTCGGAATCCCCATGCTCGATTACCCCCCTGTGCCAACTCCCAGCCCCGTAGGTGAACTCAGCAAAAAAAATCGATAAAATCGATATCGATCGATGACGAAATGTAGCCTATGACACCCGCCGGGGCCCGTAGTGTATGTGTGCCAAGTTTGGTCCGGATCGGTTCAGAAATGGAATTTTCTATTCGGAACATACGTACAGACAGACAGACATACAGACAGACAGACAGACATACAAACAGACATTCAGCTTTATATATAAGATAGTAGAATCACTGAACCTTACCTTGAAAAAATTATGATTTAAAAAATACAGGAAAGCTTTTGTGGAGGACTGCATGGAGAAATTATTTTCTAGCCTACCTAATAAATCGTAAATTTTTCAGCTTTCTATAAGATTTGGTTTCTGATATCAAATACAGCTACTTTTGATCGGATAGCTTACGTTAGAATTCATATTCTTCAGGCGCTAAAATTTGTGAAAGTGTAAATTCACGTTTCTACTTTTAGAGGCTTGCAGTATACATTTAATAGGTTGTCTCATAATTTTTTACCGTTTTTATTACAACCGTCGTATTTTATCTTTCAATTGATGTGGCTTGAGTATATTCGACAGGAGTAAGCAAGCTCTACAAAATGGCTATCAATAGTCTGTCCAAATCATATTCTACTTGGAGTTTTTAGCTAAAATCTGATAGTCAAAATCGAACTTTACCGTCAAAAATATTTCCGCCCAAAAAGCTTGAAAATTCTATATTTATACTGCTTGACACATTTAACGTGCAATTGTACACTGTTCATGTTTTTTTTCAATGGTTTAGAAAGGAAGAAAAAATGAATGGAGTAAAACGGCAAGCTACAGCCCTAGACGTCTTGAGCACCTCGCATGTGATCATATAGCTCATGCATGCAGAATTACGCTCATATAGTTACACCCTTTGTAGGTACCCCATTTCTCAAGAAATGTTGATGTTCCAGGTAAAAACGGTTAAAAAAATTATGAGACACCCTGATGATTATATTGGAACAGCACATCATCAATTTCTCAAGGGTATGAAAACTCGTGTTTTTGGATTCTGGCCGAGGAAAAAATACAGCAACGGTATATACAGGGTGGAGCAAAAGTCCGGGAGCCTAGTATTTTTCGCATAAATTCAGAATGAGATTACCCAGAAACACAAAGTTTGGTGAACACATAAATCGAACCTTTGCAAATACAACGCAGCTCTTAAATACTGGGGTTTCCTCTTTTGACTTCAAAGCAACCCTTCAAAATCTTGGCGAGTTTACTTGTGGTGGCACGCAGGCAGTCATGATGGATTTCGTCCCACGCCCTCACGATAACTACCTCCTTCACTAGACAAATGTGCACTATGATAAAGCAAGCTTTTGGCTGCAACACATTGCAACCCCTATATATTGCAAAAAAACCTTTTCTGCAATATACAGGAAAAAAAAATTTTGGATTTTAAGTGAAAGCAAGTCCCGTATATTGGAAATTTAGATGTGATTGCGCGAACCGGAACGAAAAGTCACTATCTGAAAAGTACTGAAATACTCCATCGATCAACTTCAGAAAGATGCTTATATAGAAGACTCATGAAAGAATATAGGCTTAAGCTCAGTACTTGCTGCATTCCCATAGTTTTTAAAATTATTTTAAAGGCAAATGGCCACTAGCACGCGGGTAATATTCGCAAATTTTTATTTTGCTTTTTTGAAAGAGCGCAACTACTGCGATGTGATAGCGCAAAGCCTCCTTTACTCCTTTACATTGTTTGCATCAAAATGTTGTAGAATATCCACATTTTCTTTAGCTATGATATAAATTGTGAACACTAAAGATTTTGATTTTTTTTCTGCAAAAGCACTTGTTTGGAAATCCAATTCTTACGAAAACATATGGCAGGCATTTTTAACTAGGTAAAGCGTGATTTTTAGAGGATGCTCGCAGCATGTGGTGCAAATTTGGAAACAAAATCACCAGCTATTTCGTAATTTTCAACACTGCAATATGGGCTCCCAGACATTTGCCCCACTCTGCATAATTGACTTGTGGAAAGTGTATTTTGAGTAAGTTAGGATTCTTGTAGTTTTTTTGGACGCAATTATAGTTTTCCTCGATTTTTTGCCAAATGAAACTTTTTCTTTTCTGACTTTTACTCGAGGTGGATCAAAGATGCTGCTAAAGCAAAAACAGCCATCCTTTATTGCTTGGCACTATGAAGTGGTACTTTGAGACGGGGTGGGGGAACGAAAGCCGCCAGGTCCAGCCGCCTCCGCGGACTGCTGGTCCTGGAACGACATGCAACAACGCTGCGAAAGGACCAGCTGGCCGCGAAAGGCGGCTGGACCTGGCGGCTTTCGTTCGAGGGCCGGTAACGGCAGAGTGGGCACTCTAATCCGCGCGGCGGCGGCAGCGCGGTTCGCATTGGGACCCACGCGGATTACGGTAGATCCCGCTCCAAGTGTCCGCGAAAGCACTGGATTCCTTCATTTCTCTTTTTATTTCACTTTCTGCTTTCCTTTCTCCTATACTCGCGATATGACCGCTATTGGATTGGATTGCCCACTCTGCTACCGCTCCTTCAGTTGCCCAGCGACGCTCCCGAGCCGGTCTATGAAGCTCAGCTTGTTTGGCTTGTCCCATCTTTCCTTGATTTAATTTTGTCTTTGACTTGTTCTCTGTATGAATCATCTGTTTCGAATACATTTTTGGTCTGGACTTTCACCTTTTGAAAGATGATGTTTCCAGTTTACAATCAAGGAAATCGGGTTCGTAAAAAATTTGAAGTCGGTTTGACAAGATGAAGTCAGGATGGAGTGGAAGTTTGACTCGCTTGAGGCCCGCTCATTCATTTATTCGCTCGTTCCCTTTTCTTTTCTAAAAGACTCAAATCAAATCCCACGCTGCCTCAATAAGCACTACGTTTGAATCCGTTTGAATCACTTTGTTCTAGGCCTTGGCGTGCTGGCGAACTGGCTGTGATTCTGACTAAAATGAAGGGTTTTCAACGTTTAGTTTGTGCCAACCTCTTCAGGTAAGTTTGAATCAGCCTTTTGAGCATCTTTCAAAAGATCACCACTTTGCAGACGTCATACTTGCACCGAGGTCACAAAAGATGGGCGAATAACGTGCTGGATGGGCTACAGTCAAACTCGATGATACTAAATTGCTTAACTGGAAAAGTATCCATGCAAGTGGAGAAATTTTAGTGAAGAACCTCTACTTTAGGTTGGTACAATTAGATTTCTGCTCTACTGTGTACCCGTGTGATTTTTCGTAGATAGACAGTTACCCTACCATGCAGTGACATTCTTGTGATTAGAATATACATAGAGTAATCTTGAATGTACAAAGTTCGAGCGATCTGATTTTTTGGACTTATTTTCTGGAGCTGGCGCAAAAGGGCATTCTTGCAAACAGATTGTCGATTGGAACTTGTTTACGCTCTTTCCAATAAAACACAAGCGAGATTTAGAAAAGAGACAGCCGCAGTGGATTATCCAAGGCGACATTAGGCGAGCCTTTGAAGAAAACCGCGAGAGAATTTGAGAAAATCCCCCATACAACCTGGCATACTTTACGGTCTATAAACCAACTACTCTATGACTTCTGCATCGATCTTTTATCATTCTTTACTTTGATGTACTTATATAGTACACTTCTTTCTGCAATTTACATGCTGCACCTCATTAGCCTGCAAAAAACTTCATTGTTGTCATAGACAACGTAAACAACTATAAACTTCTGAACTATTCCACAAATGTCATACGCTTTTCAGTGCAGAGGTGGTGGACGCAGTTACAAGTGATGCTTATGCGCCAGTGGCTATCGACACGACATGGGGAGATTCGTTTTCATTTCCTCTGCACACAGATGGCGAGCCATACTGGTAATATGAGAAAATCCCCTTTTCAAATTTCTAAACAGTTGCTGGAGGAATCCAGGACAAGCAATATAAAGTGAGCTTAGAAAACGTAAGGTTAGCCTCAGTGAACCATTCACATAGGTTTGCTAACTGCAAGTATTTCAGCCCGCTAGAAGTTGTTCTCATGGACAGGAGCGATGGCGGTTTCCAGTTAGAACTTGACTAGATCGCAGTATACAATGATCTATCGCATTTAGAAAAAAAATTCGCCTATGAAGCATATGCGCTTCCTCTGTGGAATACACACGAGTTTTAGATGATTCGATATACATATTTACAGACATAAATACTTACAACATAATGCTGTGGGATTTGTTTTGATTCAAAAATCACTCTCCGTCTGCAGTTCCTACATTATGAGTTTTTCAAGCTGCGAACACGTGCAGCTTCATCAGCTACCGCTGTAGGGTATAACAATTCCAAGAGCATACACTTTGACACAGATGCAAACAGAAGAAAAATTTATTTGCAGATCCGCGGTTCAAATCCGGGTGCCCCAGTGCTGACCACAATACTTACAAAGTTAGATAGGCTATCTGCGCGTGCAAGCCTCTGAGAGGTACAAGAAGCTCAAAAGCATCATGAGAACAAAACAAAAAGGATGAGATGATACGCAGTTATCTAAAACCCGAGTCCAAAACATGAAACTCTATAGTTCTATAACATCTTTATGTCCTACAATACAATTTCTTTCTTCTAACAACATCGGAATGGGCGGATCCAGGTCACTGAATATAGACGAACTAGCTGGCTTACCCGGCTCCGCCGTATCCGGACCAAACTTGGCACACATACACTTCGGGCCCCGGCGGGTGTCACAGTCCACTTTTCGTTATCGATCGATGTCGATTTTACCGTTTTTTATCGATTTTTTTGCAGAGTTCACCTACAGGGCTAGGAGTTGGCACAGGGGGAAGTGAGCATGGGGATTTCGAATACAATATTAGTTTTCAGGATCGTCCATTACTTTTATCGATTTTATCGATTTTTTTTGTAAAATTTGACCTGCGGGGCTGGGAGTTTGCACAGGGGTGTAATCGAGCATGCTGATCATCCCCCTTGGGGATGATCAGCATGCTCTATTACCCCCCCTGTGCCAACTCCCAGCCCCGTAGGTGAACTCAGCAAAAAAAATCGATAAAAATCGATAAAATCGATATCGATCGATGATGAAAAGTAGCCTATGACACCCGCCGGGGTCCGAAGTGTATGTGTGCCAAGTTTGGTCCGGATCGGTTCAGAAATGGAATTTTCTATTCGGAACATACGTACACACATACATACAGACAGACAAACAGACATTCAGCTTTATATATAAGATTTCGAGAATAAGACAAAAAGAGGAACTTGAAGCGTGCGTACAGAAAAAACCTACTCTGTCACTATCGATGACATGCGTCGTTGTTGCATTGCTCTAGTAGCACTTTCAGGATGTCCAAAAGTAGTTGAAGCAAATCCGCGATGCAAACCCGTCTCAGCATCTGAAAAAACTCGAGCTTTTCATAAAAGGAAAATTCCTTAACAGTTCTTTATCAAGAATAAAACTTTAAAAAAAACATATTTACATTGTGTACTTGGTATATTCTTTGACAAACAATAACTTAGCACTCTGGTTTGTATAATTTGGTTGTTCCTCTTCGAATCGTACCCCAACTACTCAACGCCGATGCTCCTCATTGCGACTAGATAAAGCGATCTTTTCAAGTGCGCACTGGGATTTGTCTTTGAAACTTCATACAACCACCCTTCGAACATTTGCAGCAGCTCCTGTCTGAAAACTACCACGTACTTGATTCCTGAACTGTCCAAGAACAACACAAACTGAAGATGATACCAACGCATTTCACAACTTGCTGCTCATATAATCACACAGAAGAAAGCCACATATGTCATGCATAGATCGATAAACTCACTTTTTGAAGTCGCACGAAAAAATCACAAACCGCCCAAGAGGAGGCAGTGCTCTAGCTACAAACCTTTTGTGCGTGAGAATTCGAGACTCTGCAAAACACTGTAAGATTCACTTCAGGGACAATGTGAGATACCCACTTCGATCGTTTGTGAGACTCACTGCATCCCATGTGCCTTTTGAACACAACATCGTATCTACAAGTCAAGATTAGAACCCGTCGATGTTGAGAGTCCAGAACTGTAACGTAAAGTGCTTACTTCAACGCAAAAATCAAAACAACTGTCCGTAAAGCTGTTAATGCGAAGTACAGATCATCAAGTAATTCTTGAAAATACCGTCCATGCAAATATGAGGTTGGTGAGTCAATGAGGCAATTACCAGAAGCTTCGTTGCTGCACTGCAACAAAAGCTCACCAACCAATTTCAAATTTGGATAAACAGTGCCTGAACTTATTGACCGAAAACTAACCTTAAAACTGATATCCAATTCAGGGTCTTCTTTCGAGATGCGATAGCTAGTTCAATGGCTGCCGGACAGTAGTCCACCCCTGTTAGATTCAGATAACTATGTTTAGGCTGAAAAAGGAAAAAACGCATAACTTTAAACACTCGAAACACGACTTTTCCATCTTTACACTGATCAACTTGTTGGTATTGGAAATGTAGCATGACCTTAAAACATGGGTACACAAGAAACGGTGCACAAAGAGGAGATAGCCAAACAGTTATCCATAGCCGCAAGACCTCTTGACATTCGAACCGGTAACGGAAAGTGCTTTGGCGGACACTTGGAGCGGGATCTACCGTAATCCGCGTGGGTCCCAATGCGAACCGCGCTGCTGCCGCCGAGCGAATTGGATTGCCCACTCTGCCGTTACCGGTCCTCCTTTCGTTCCCCCACCCCTTTGAGACGTATTGAGGAACAAGAAATATGCGAAAGGTGTAAGTCAAAACGGAGGCGACTTATGGAACAAAATGATAGCTTTTAAATCCCTCTTTCAAAACAAAATTACATAGTAAGCGATTCAAGCATTATAACAAAGCTGTCTAAATAAAACGGATGCTCTTCACCATCATCGGTGCGTCGGACGTGTGCGGATGAGCTTTTATTTTTCTGAAATGGCTTGGTAGTACGTGCACATGACCTCACCCGCACCTCACCCTTATACCTCACCCTCGCTTTGCTGTTGTAGCTCGGCCGGCTTAGTTTATTCGAAAGATCGAGGCTTTTTCAACACGATGGTGTGCAGAAGAGATCGGCTCAAAAAAACCTGAAAATTTTGAGAATGGATTTGGAAAAGGGCAGTCACTTAGGCTTGAGAACTTCCAGACAACTTATGGAAGAGCTCATTTTGTTGCCAGTTTTATACCGGGAGTTTGGAACCAATAATTTTCTTGCAATAATTCAATTGCGAAGTTTACGACGTTTTTAGCGTCGATAAGAGGCTGAGCTTATATCACTTCAACCACCAGCGAGGCTGCTTTTTCTCAAGCCCATTCTCAACATGTCTACGACTTATCTTTTTTGCATACGTGTCAAGGAATCTCGTTCTTTTGGAACCTTACTCTGGCAGCTAGAAGCATGCAAAGCGGTACTAGTCGTAGCTTTGGTGCAGGTGAGGTTATTTGCATGCAAACTTTGAGCCCAACGAAGAAACTCAACAACACTCTTGTCTGTTGCACAGAAAATGGTAAAGAGCTCCATTTGATTTAGCGGCTTTTATGACATCTGTATTGGTTTCTGCCAAGACATTTTGTTCGGAAGAGAGAAGTAAATTTTTTGGAAAATGCTAAAAATGTAAAGGTTTTCATGATTTTGCTAAAGCGATTTTGAGCTCCATTCAATTAGTTCTTTTTATAGCATTACTTGAAAGCACAAGTGCGAATTTTGCCCTTTACAAACGTTTGTTTTCGAGGATTATTAAAATAGGCACAAAAGTTCAGAAAAGGCAACATCTATCTATTCTTGTTTTTGCTTTTTCTTATTTCAGCGATAAACGTATCTGATGTGGAAAGCACATACGTGAGCATTTCTGAGGCTCGAAATTTTATGGGCTAAATTCGATTTCTCAAGAATTTAAGAGCTTCATGGTTCCAAACCTCACGCGGATCAAAGTGAGACAAACATTTGGAAACCATTTTGCTGATTATGCAATACTCTATCAAATAATACTATCACTGTTATTTCGCGTTCTCTGCCGCAGACATGATGCGACATACTCTCCTTACATGATGCGACATACTCTCCTTAGCAGCCGTAGTAGATTTAATCTGATAATATCTATGTAGATAATATCAGATTAAATCTATTACGGCTGCTAGGTGATTTGCTTGAGCCTGCATATTTATATGTTGAAAATACTCTAATATTTTTGAAAAATTCCTCTTCGCAAATATAGAATATACAACTGACATCAGCTTTTCAAGCTTTATCCTTAAATTTACTTCGTCTTCCGAATCACCACTACGACCAAGCGGACTTCCCTTCAAGATAAGAAAAATATGACCTGTAGAATGCCCAGCACGCTAAGAATTTTTATCCCTCTTTTTACGTTGATTTTTAGAGAAACTATAGTACTTACGAAAGCAGTCATGAGGAATACAACTTTATCGAGCGATTTTGAAACACCAGCGTCTATTGCTAGCAAATGCACAGTGTTGTAGTCTGTGTATTCCAATCACTTACCACCATTATCATCAAACACTGTCAGAGCGATATGCTCGTTGCAAGTAGTAATGCTAATAAAAGACTCAACCATTTGATACAAACCGACATAAAGGCGTTATTAGATTTTGTTGATAATGCACCCATATGGAAAAATTGGTGATCATTCTGATGAACTGTCTTTTATACAAGCATTTCACAGCCGAAAGACGGTGCTACGGTACACATATATTGCTCGATAATATGACAATTTTCAACGATAAAATGTCAAGTTGTTTATATTGAGGTCTGCAAAGACTGGCATTTATTTTAAGCATCGTATAAATGTGCTATTGTTAATCTGCAATTTCTGCACTTGAGCATTGAAAGGAATCTAGGTGTTTACAAAGCAATGTTTCAGTGAAAAAGTTTCTACTGAACTTCAATGTACTTTGCCAAAGTAGCGTTAGAGACATTATTAGCACATTTTTACAAAAAGGGTAGCTTACCCTGATTGTAATGTGTTTTCGGTTGGCAGTACTTGCGGTAAGCTTCGAGTTTACAAATTTTCTTACCCCACAAGAATTCCCGCTTTTTCAGCCTTTTCTATCCATGACTGTGTGCGAAATACCTATCTGTAATAATTATCGCACTAAATCATTGGAAAAGTTCTTGAAAAAAGTAGAAAAAATCCTCAGCAGGCTCGTATGTCATTTTGATTCGATATTGTTAGGAGTAGTCATCCTTATAAGCTGCTGTATAACCGACGAATATATCATTCGAGTCTTCTGCTATTTAAATTGCAGAGGATGACTTACGATTGCATGCTGGAGAAAGATGCAGACAATTTAGATTTACTCAAGGCTCTTCCAGAACTGTGGTCAAACAGTAAATTTTGCAGAAATTCGTTTCTTGAAGAATAATATAGATGTAATTCAGTTTTGATAATGAAAATCAGGATGCACATCTGATGGTAGACTTGGGAGTGACGTGGCGTCAAGTAAGGTTTAATCAGATTTGTAAGAATTTTGTAATTGTATAAAGACCATTAAAGTTAGTTGAATCCATGAATCAAGTAGCTCCCAAATTGTGGAATGAGCAGAACGTTGCAGACCTTCGCTAGCATAAAGTTATTAACTTCGGCACTACATAAAGCTGCTTTACGCTTTTCTCGCTATCGAAACCACTAAGTCATGTCCACGCCTCTGCTTGATTCTGCGAATCTCGAATTTGATTCCGAACTGGAGCAGGCCGACAGCGGCAGAGCGCGGCAAACCGCCCCTCAGCCAACCGCTTGTACGAGTTTCTCTTATTTTCTTCGTGTTTCTTTGCCATCTCTCGTATTGCGGCAATTTAATCAGATTTTCAGATTTCGTACCGCTAACTATTTGAAACAAACACTTTTTGAGGTTTCAGCCCTATCGCAAAAAAAATAGTCTAGAGTGTACATATTCTGACGAAAAACTTGACACAGTTCATCAGATCACATTTGTGTATATGTCACTTACCGGAAAAGAGATTTCTCATCCAAAATCTCCAATCTTCTTTCCGATTTACCTTGAAAAATGTAAAACAAAGGAGCACAACTGCGCGAAACAATAGTTAGCGGCAAAGTCTTGAAATCTGATAAACAACACTGCCGCAATACGAGAGATAGCAAGGAAACACGAAAAAAAAGAAAAGAGGTGTGCAAGCGATTGGCTGACGGACGGTCTGCCGCGCTCTGCCGCTGCCGGCCTGCTCCAGTTCAAACTCAAATTCGACCACCGACTGACTAGTGGGGTGAGGACGACTATATCAAGCACATTGTGAAAAGTTGAACAAGTTTGGTTCAGTGTCGGGAACTGCCGGACTCGGCGATAAACTTAGCAGACTGAAGCTGAATAATCCTAACCTCGCGGGTTTCTATCAACTGTCATCGATGGTTCGCTTACTCTGTGGCGAGCGAGGACTCTATACGCGGTTCCACTGGTCAAATACAGTAGTATATATCCGTAAAATTCATTTTTTACCTATCCGGACCAAACTTTGTATCCATACGCTTCGGGGTAGGTGTCTTAGGCTGCTTTTCGTTATCGATCAACGTAGGCTTTATCAATTCTTCGAAAACTTGATCTACGCGGCTGGGAGTTGGTACAGGGTGGCATGCTGATTACGGGGACAGGACAATGTTGTACAGAAATGAGAATGGTTGTTCTGCCGTAGTATATTGGCAGGGCTGGGCGGAGCCGGGTATGACAGCTAGTTTCGTACGATTTTGAGAGTGTTGGGTGCTGATTTTGAGCTCGTCCGAGTCATAAGTTATCCATCAATGTCTTGATTTCCATCCTTAATTCTCTGCTTGCCCTGAGGCTGAGGAGGCTAGTTTCATGCGTTGTGTTTGTTTGATCTTCTGTTTAATCTTCTTTTGTGATGCACCTTGAGTATATATAAAATAAAAATATTAAAATAAGTGTTTTCTGCGGCCCTATTCGTCAATAAACCCCGAGGTTGAACTCTACCTTGAGGGTCTGTAGTAGCCACTACGACAAGGTGCATTGAGTTCTTGAAAAAAGGAGCTAATCTTGAGGTGAAAATCTACTTCAACGTACACTCTCGATATAGATCCCCACTCCAAGGTTCTTTGAAGAATACTCTCACTGAAGCGCAAAATGAAAGCAGAATCTAAGTAAAGTCAATTGGTCCCCCCTCCCCTCCTCCCACGCCCCCTTTTCCCAGCACTTAAATACAACAATGTTGAGTATGAGCATACCAGAAAAAAGAAAGATCATGAGACTCCTATAGATCCTTTGCATTCTGATACCCAGCACAACCTGACTAGTTCTATAAGATTTTTTCCAATTTTGCACTCAATTCTTAAATTACTCATAATCGGCTTGCATAGAAGATCGGCAGTAATAAAACCAAGAAGTCCTCGTTTGATGATTTCTAAGGTGGTATAAGATTCTCCGAGAGGTCTTTGACAGAAAAGCACTTTTTTGTAAGAACCAATGCTCAAAGTGTAAGATTTGCTATTGGCCACTTGTCATCGTTTAACTTGTAGAACACCTCACAGTTTGATAATATTTATATTTACGATATATATCATGTCACCCGTAATGGCATAAATTTGCCACTTTGACATCCATCATGTAGATTATGAAACACAGCGACTCCATTCTCACGAAATGTGGTGTAAGGAATTTCGTAGAGAGTTTCGAAGCCTAACTGAAAATTTCCTACTCATTATTTTTTTTGGCTCCGCATGTATCGAAATTCACCCGTGAAAAAACTCCTTGAGAAGCAGATGCAGTGGCTGCAGTTGCGACCCAATTGCGTCCTGCATTCTTCGCCGTCTCTATTGCCCGCCGAGTCAGCTGCTTACCTAAACCTTTTCTGAAATAAGAAACCCAGTTAGGTGCGTAAAAACTACAAACTATATTGCACACCAACCCTCTGTAATCGTTATTAACGGCAATAACGTCGACTTTGAATACTTTGCTACCGCTTCCGAGTAAAGAACCTTGTTTTTCCTCTAAGGCAGTGACGAATGCGATCAGCTGATTCGCCTTGTGTTGCTTATACGGGCCTTGACTGATTTCTGAATTTTTAACACCATCTTTTCTCAGAGGTTAAAAAGAATCCTCAACAATTTTCTGCAAAATCGTGTGTTTCTGGATCGAATTGTGGAGGACTTTCGGCGATGTCCTTACTTTGACTTACAGAGCATAAACATACGGCAATTAGCCTAAAATTCTCGAAATTGACCATGTCAGAATTGTAATTATCAATTGATGTGATTGTTTTTGTAGGTTTTCATAAAATTCATGAAAATTGTTGATTAAAAATAAATCACATATTCTTTGTCTAACGGTACTACTGCTGTGGGAACTACAGCTTCTTGCTGAAAAAATCAATCTATGTGGTTCAAAAACATTTCCAGACTTACAATATCAGCAAAATTGTTGAGGACTGTGGTTTTTCGAAGAAAAAAATTTTTAAGGAGTTACGGTAACAAACATTCTATATGTTCACAAAAATGACTATCCATACCTCTAAATTTTTTGCTGGTAGATTATACCTTACTATCTACTTTTAGAAGTGCATCAATCTCTAGCAATTTTGAGATAATAGGAAAATGCTTCGCGCATGTAATCTTAGAGGGGCAATGAAAGCTCTCGCAATAAAATTACTAAATTTTTGATTAGCAGCAACCAATATTAGAAATGCTGCACTACTGAAATATTTATAACATTATAACAAAAAGCACATAGTATACTTCGTTTTGAGTAGCTTGAACTCCAATGAAGTTATGAACCCAGTTAGACTCAAAGTTCTCTTAAGATTCCTAAACTATATAAACAGTTGATTTCTGATAATTATAACGATGAGTGTTGACGATTATACTTTCAAACATCTAGACTTTGGTAATTTTTTGCAACTTTTTGGGCTCACATTTTCATCCGAATTGTACATATTGCTTGGTCTCAAAAATTCGAATTTGTATGTTTTTTTTTTCAATTAAGGTTCCAGGAGTTTCGAGAAACTTCCACGAAATCTTTTATTCCGTTTGCGGTTAAAAAAAACGAAGGGTGATGATAACGCAATCACAGGTTTGATCTCGATTACCTGCGACAATCGTCTTGCGTTAAACCTTCTATTTTGAAGTTTTTAACAGCTTTTATTTGTCCTAGTTCCAGTAGAACATTCGTTTATATAAACGACAAAAGCTACCCTATACGCATACCTTTCATTATCATAAACAATGGTGGAATATTTCTCATTAGAATAGCCGGACTCAGCTAAATCATGAAAGAAATCACGCAAATCAGTCGGTGTTGCAGCTAAATGTTTAGATATTATTAGTTGGTTATTCAGATATATTTCCAATCAACCTAACGAGCGTGTGATAGGCTTATTGATGCCAAAGTCGGAGAACATAAATTTTTCGATATTCTCAGCATGTTTTTTCGTTGCAACTACGAATCGAAGTCCATCGAACATCTGACATTAAGCAACAATTTTCAAATTAAGATTGAAGCATAGTTCATTATAAAAGCAACGTGGCATCAAGTTCGCTCTGAAATCAGTACATTCAACTTCAGCGATTTCTGATTTTTATATTTTCTTTTGTGGTCCAAAAATTTGATGGATACTTCTTTCAAAAGTTCTTTGAATTAAATTCGAAGGGAGAAGCTAAAGTTTCGTAGGGGAATGACTACTAGTATAGTAATTTAGCTACATAGTATCACAAATTCAATATTTATGAATATTTGTTAAGCTCATACTTCAATGGTGAGCATGATTCACTTGTGATTTTTAATTCAAAACACAAACTTCAGGATTGACAGCCAGCGTCACTCTTGTTGTAATGGCCCATTTAATAATATTGAACATTCACAATTATCAATATCACTATGTATTCAATTAGCAATGGATAATGTTTTTTGGAGACTTCTGCTTGTGAATAGATTCGATTCTGCTATTCCTTGGTCATCAAGCAGAAAACTTGAATATTCACTGCAGACGGATTTTGAAACTTTATCGGAAATGGTTTATCGGAAAAAACCTTTAGGATATGGTTTTTTCGAGATTTTTAGCTACAAGATGCAATATGTTTACCAATTCAAACGATGTACATTAGCTAATAAATGATTTCGACCGCTCTGACTTTTTATGAAAATGTAACTATGATAAATTTTTTTGCACAAATACTTGATGACATTAGAAAAATGAGCTCATGAGTTCACGAGAAATAAGTGGGTCATTTTACAAGAGCAGTTCCTTCTAATGACACATAATGGGGCAGAAACTGAAGAAACGCGTATATATTAGGTTCTCCAAAGTTTTTCCCGTTTTTTTGACCTATCATAAAAGCACGTAGCGTGAAGGTAGACAAGCCTTAAAGATTGTTCAACGCAGCTTTTTCTTGCTGTTATCTTTGTGAATCTTTAACTCCTGTGGTCACCGATATTCGCCAAATTTGTGTACCTATGGTTCTTACCAAATCGACATTTGCCAATTTTCCAAAATCTTCACTTCGGACTGTTAAATGGATAGCGTAAAGAAAGTGTCGTGCAATGCAATTTTTTGGCGTCTACAGCTAGCTTTTGATGTTTTTCAAAATGAGTTTTGAAAGTTTTCACTTTTCAAAGACGTGAAATACACACAAGCTTGAAATACTAATGAATCTTTGGAGTTTGGGACTTCAAGAGTCCGATATGATCAACGCTGATTTTACAAAGTCATTCATTAAGCTTTATCCCGTCGCAGTGTAAGTTTATTTTAGGGTACGCCTGAGATGCGCTAGAAAACAAAAATTATGATAATTTTGTTGCCGAAGACATCACGAATGGGAGAGAAGAACGAGTAAGAAAGAGGACAAAAGCTGCCGAGAAGGACATCCTAGATGAGCTTCGTTTGATGTTCTATGAGGTTCGGTATGACCAAAGACGGAATCTGATAGTATAAATTGTAAAATGCTTGCAAAGTCGGCTATAGATGCCGTAAAATTGTGTTGCAACTGCACTTTCTTTGCTCTCCGTTCGTTACCAAAGCATCCTCAAAAAATCCAAATGAAAATTTTGAAAAATTGCTGAAATTGGCCTAGCAATAGTAAAAAAACATAGTTCAAAATTTCGCCAATTGCTGTAGTGAACACAAGAGTTATCATTGCGGAATCATGGCGCTGGAAAGAGGAAGAATTTCTGCTTAGCAGTTCTGAAACGTTTGCCAGTCTTTATTCCACATGTTTTTATGATAGGTAAAAAAACGAGAAAAACTTTCAAAGCCAAGTAACATTTCTTCTGACGCATACGCAAAATTTTTCTATCATTCTTCAACAAACTATCACTGCGTTTACATCTACAACACACTGAAACTCTACTATACAACGTGCACCATATCTCAAAAATGGGAAAATTGCTAAGTAGTAGTTCACTTCTACATTAGAGTCTTCAGAAAAATCCTTGGTTTCATCGAGCGGATAAACGTTTCAAAGCGTTACCGAACAGCTCTCTCTTATTTTTTCAACAGGCCCATAAGACTAACAGTATTTAGAATGGAAACCAAGTAATAGCTCGGTCTATCAGTGCCGCATATTTACACGCGCTAAGAAATAAGATACCCATGCCACTGTTTACCTGCATCAGAAAGCTGCATCTTGATTTGCGCAAATTATTCACTAAGAATTAGGAAAATACTGCAAAAACCGCAGAATTTGTTTGTTTTCAAATGGAAATAGTAGCATGGTGTGGATATTTACGCGATATATAATTATCCGGAGAGCTAGAGTAGCGATAGCGACAGCTGGTGTGAATGAGCTCGGAACGCAGAGCGAAAGTAGCGAATGTTGAAAAGTGGGGCGTTGCCAGTCGATAGATGGAGGCAGAGGGGAAGAGTGAAGGCTCTGCGAAGAAGCTCGCTTTGGTCTCATCTGACAAAGTCTAGTGAGAAGCTACAAACTGAGGAAATGAGGAGCAAGAGCTCGGGTGCGCCTTACACGGATTATTAGATTTTATCGGTACATGCCTCATGTTTTACTCTTTTATGACTTAGCCTGTCTGACAAGTGAGTGAGTGAAAAAATTGTGGTTGGATGTCTTTAAGTTATTACAGTCTCGAGTTTTTTTTCTACTTTTAATTTTGTTATAGATAATTTTACCAATAAGTATTTAAATTTAGGTTTGATTGGCCACCTTTTCTTGTTTCTTGTATCAATAGGCCTTCCCTCGCTACTGGAGAAATGAGAGGGTCGCACCTCAATCTAATTTTTGTGTAGTGAAAGATCGGAACGGAAATGAGAAATAATTTATTTTTTTCCTTTTGTTACTTGTAACAAAAATGGATTAATTCTTCGAACACTTTCAATAGAATGTTTTTCAAAACATATATATCAACCCAATATTTGAAGGAGTCATTGTGTCTGGCGTGGATTGTACAGAGACCTTGCTGATAACTTAACACGTTTCGGACCGGTGATGCACATGGTGTGTCACGCTCTTGAAGGATCTTTCTGACGTTTACTGAAGGTTTTCTTTTAGTCCGAGGTTATCAAGTCAAAGGCCTAAGCTTCTACTTTTCAAATGCCTCTATAGAGTAGTGCCGCCGATATTTGATTAGGAGATATGAGGACAAATCGAACAACAGTTGCAACGAAGTGCGGCAACGCGAACGACGCGTGCGACGTCGCAACTTTTCTTTGTTTCGATTTCAAAGATAAAAACCCTAGTTTCAATAATGATGTGTACCATGTACAACGTAGTACTTTTGCATGCCATAAGAAACTAAGTTCTTGTTCCTATCTTGCAAAAGAGCACAGAATTCCCTCTCAAGCGACAAAATTCAAACACTTCAAATTCACTCAGAATTTTGCATTTGGAGCTTATCTGACGTGCTGATGACAGATGTAGCTTCACGGAATAAGGTCCCTTTGTTGGCTAACGGCTGAATTTGCACTCTTTTTCGCCGCGTGCGATTTCGCTGTCCGAAACATGTTAAAATAGCGTAAATTACGTATTTATGCTATTTTCTGAGTTTACATTGGCAAGCGCGTATTCCTACTTCTTAACGTTTTCACTTATTCATTCGTCATTCCATACCCTTCCTGAAACAATGTTAGGAAACTCTGCTTATCTACCGGCCCCATGCGAATCTCCAATCACAAATAGTCTTGTTGTGAGAAGAATTGGGCGTGAGAGCCGGGGCAGAAACTATAGTAATTTTATTATCAACAATATCAGTCCTACAGTATGTCGGTATGGGTTTGCTTTGAAATAATGGACGTTTTGAGTGTGATTGGCTTGAAAATTTGAGCAAGTGTGGGCCGCTAATTGTAAATGAGCCTGTATTCATTTCTGAAAGATACTACCATATTTTGACTTTGCAAGTTTCATTTTCGTACATTGGTGGTTGTCCAACTAGGTAAGTTCGTAACTGGATAAATATGAATTTTTTTTTCAGGTACAACCAATCATAATATGCTCGCAAAAACGAATTTCTTTGTGCTATGTATTATTTTGTTCTATGTATTCCAAAACCAACACTGCATTCTTTTCTATATTAGAAGACAATTTTGCCTGCCATATTCTACATGATACATTCTTTATAAGCCCATATTTATAATTTTATCGTCGTCTTTCATATTATTACAAAGATAATTCCACACATTATCTCCGAAATCCCCCTTAGTGCTTCTTTCATAGATAACCAAGTGGTGGCTCTGTTAAAAACGCTGTCTATATTTTACACACTGCCATAAATGGCTGAGGTTGTTTTTTTACTAAACATGCCCTCGAAAGATTTTGCCAGTTTGTTTTCATGGAAAATAAACATCAAGAAAGAACCTTCCTGAAGAATTTTGTAAACAGAGAATATTAAACGGAGGAAAGCCAAAGGAAAGCTTTGGCAGTCCGGACAAAGAAGCTCAGCTTCGCTAAGGCTGCCTTAATGAGCTCTCCGCTCTAGTTTCATTCAAATAAAAACTGTTTCTGAGGAGAAATTAGATGAGCGCACAGCGTAATACAGATAGGGACAGAGAGGGGAAGATTTCAGAAATGTTTCTGAGCAAATTATAAATCGTACAACAACATTATGCGTTTCGTTAACGTACAAAACATTTTAGTTTCTTTAGAAAGAAGTGCTCAAAAAGAAGTTCAATTGAAAGTAAAAAACTTTGTATTTTGAAGAGATTTAAGATCAATAGAAAGTCAACATTTATTAACCTATCTCTCGCACACTTTCTCCACTGTTGAATACCAAGATCAAGTTTTTTTTTCAACGATATTTTGTACAAATATTGTATGTAGCTGAGCAAGCTGATCTTAAAGCTGAAAAGGCTGAAAATAATGCCCTAGTTTCATTAAAAAAATATTGTAGGGGAAATTATGAAAGGTAATTTGATATAGTTTCAGTGGGGATATTATTACGTGTTGCTATCAACACGATTTTTTTATCTCGTTCAAACACTCACGACTCGACTAAATTGCCCTTATTCTCCAGTCAGTGTCAATCACCTGCTCCCTTTTCCGTAAGCGCAATCGCCACGCACTTTGCGCGCGTATTATGGCTTCGGTTTTCGAATTGGCCTTATTGATCGCAGGTCGCATGCAAGGCCCTCGCGTTGCGCATGTGTACTTCCCATGCGAAAGGGAGTACGTAATTGACACATACTGTACTTACGTTATCGAGGTACTTGAATTCCACTCATTGGCAACAAGCATTTTCAATAAAAGATGAAATTTGAGTAATAACTATGCAGTATATAGCATCAAATGTAGGAATCAGCAGATGATGTCTGTTATTTGAATGGGAGGCAACCGGATTGTTGTTTGCGATTTCACAGCTGGGCAAGATTCGATAACGAACATCCGGAAATGCAACAGTGACAGTTGTCGACCATATGAAATTTAGCGCGATAAGCTTGAAATATAAATTTGACCGCAAACGATTTTTTGTGATATACCGTTCTGCATGGCAAGATTACTTCCGCATTGAAAAGCATAAGCGCTTTCACTCAGAGGCATATGCCAACATGCGAAATGTTGCTAAGCATTAGCAACACGCGCATGTCAGAGACGCAGAGCAAGGGTAGCTGAATGGGGGGGGGGGGACCATGTGACATGTGGTCCATACCATTTCTTCATCAGAGTGATGTTGTAACATTGAATTTTTGAAGAAGAAACAGTGTAATTCAAGCACTTGTGGAACACCAGTATGAACTTTCGAGCTTTTTTTCCACTTCAATACTTTTTCGCTGCTCATATTGGTCCCTCTACATCTGAGTCAATTGCCCACTTTGTGTAATTACGTTATGCGCGCCATCCGACTACTCGACTACTATGCTCCAGCTTCCAATAAATTCGCTTTTTTTGTAAATAAGTGGATGAGGAAGTGTAAATCATAAATTCTAGGACTTTTCCGATCAAAATGATTCTGTTAACTATTACAACGTCCAACTCACAACGTCAGCAGCTCACGTCGCAGCGTGCAACGATTTCGCGCTCTAATGCATATTAAAGGGTGTGCTCACTGTTGCAAAAATTCTAGAATGAATTCCAGAGCTTGGAAATCTCTATTCTTTAGTTTTCTTTATTGTTGAGTTTGTCTGTCTAGACTTGTCGTAACAGAGCAGTTTAGTGCTGCATTATCGTCTTTGATTGACTCCAAATTCCATTTCCAGACTGTAAACTTGGCAAGATGATGCGACCACTGATTATTCTGCTCAAAGAGGGTACTGAGAATAAACAAGGCAAACAGCAGAAAAAAAACATTAAAAAAATATAAAAACATAAAACATAAATCATAACATAAAACATAAACATATTTATGGTATTGAAAAATCATTCCGTCCATTTCGCAAATGGAGCCAAATGTCTTTCTATCTTCTGCTCATCGGTTAGTGCTTTTCTTCCTATGTTTTTCGTTGTTTCAGGCCCGTATGCACGTATCCCCGCTGGGGAGGGGAGGGGATCTGAAAGGAGATGCATCATATCTTGCTACTCTAGTGTCTTTCTTTTTGCCTCACTATCTTCTTATGAAGGTTTTCATTTCCTTATATTAGGTCGTTCCGAAAGTAATGTCGCTTTTTTCAAACGTATGCCACATCTCGTGTAACAAAGATATGTAAGAGATTCTGGCAGCATTTGATGCAGCATTTCATTCCCTTTTTAATGGTTTTGAACCTGTTGCTATAAAGTCAATGAGCTTCCAGAAAAGAGTCAAAATCTAAGACCTATGCTTTTTGAGATGGCCAAGTTTCACAATTTTTCTGAAATTCTGTAACAAACCTCAGAAGGAGTCCAAAATGGACGATGGAGCAAACCCTACAGGAATCAGCACAACTTTTTCTTACTTTTCAGAGCTCGTCATAATTTTTGTGTGTGAAGAAGAGATACTCGATGTTATCAGTTTATCAATGATAGTATGACGTGTTGTAAAATGTGTTGATGGTTTCATTTCTTGAGTTTGTTTCACTTTTTGCCCTTTGGACATCGCCAGCGGCTCGTCTTCGATTGTACGTACACTTCGTGGCTAATAAACCTACCATACAACGCACGTGGCCCACATCACCCACAGGAGAGAAGACACAACTCAGATTTTTTGATGGAACCACCGAATTTTAGCAGGGTTGTCTCAGACACAAGTGCATCAAACGCCAACAAGTCTCCGGATTTTGAAGCTTACAAAGATGGATTATGGTTTGGCAACAATTTTACAAACCAATCGAGCACCGCTTCGGTTTAGCAACTTTCGAAAATTTCGGGTACACCTTGGGGTGCCTTGGAAAAGCTGAATTATAATGATTTTATCCCGGAAAACTTGATGAATCGGAAACAAAAAACGACCGCTAGAAACAGGAGGAAAAGCTGCATCGAATGGCACCCGAATCGCTTGCTGTTGTTGTTCTGTGAGGTTTGACTTGACTAAATATGGAATTTGATAGCATTGAGAAATTGATTGTAGAAACTCTGAGAAGCAAGCTAGGGACAAGAAAAAATTGCTCTATGTTCTACAATGTTTGTTTTATCTATCTGCCACTTGCATTTTTTCGGAGGTTAGGTACAAAAATTTAGAAAAATAGCCGAACTTGACCATGGCAAAAAGCATGAGTCGCAGATTTTGGTAATTTTTCAAGAGCTCATTAAACATTGTGCAGCGAAATTAGAACCATTAGAAAGAGGATGAAATACTGCATCGAATGCTTCTAAGTTCTCTTGAAAATGTTGATTCCACGAATAGTGGTGTTTATTCGAAAAAGCGACATTACTTTCGGAACGACCTAATATTTGCGCATAATAGATGCCAGGTTAATGCCATCAAGACTGGTATTTGCCTTTTGTGTGATCCCCTGGGATCCCCAAGGGATTTCCAGGTGATCAACTCTCATTTTCAAAGTCATTTATTCTCCTAAGAAGTTAATGAAATTGCTGCAAAATTGTACTGAGGATATACTACGACATTGTTAAGCATATTTTTGACAGGAGAAATGGAGTCTGAACTTTGTGAATTTTTCGATAATCCCTAGCTCGCAAGCAGTAATTCGTCGAAGATTTCGATATCCTGAGATTTTACTTATTTCTACCATAAACATGTTTAGCAATGCTGTAGTATATATTCAGTACAAATCTGCAGCATTTTTATTGACTTCTCAGAATGATAAATGATTTTGAAAATGAGAGGTGATCCGCTGGGGATCCCTTGAGTATTTCCAGCGGATCACACAAAAGGATAAAACCAATCTTGTGTGGCAGTAGAAGAAAAATACCTAGACTAACGAGGTATGACGCATCCCTCTCAGATTCCCTCCCCTCTCCCGCGGGATGTACGTGCATACGGGCCTTGAAATCACTTTGGATTATTTGCACACCGTTATGTTGATAATTTAATCAGTTGTTCCTCATATGTTCTGCAATCGCTTACTCAGACTATCGCCGGGACAGGCGGTCCGGAAACTCGTGCTCTCTTGCAGGCGGTCAGCAGAATATTCGGGGCGTGGCCAAACCTTCAGCGAGAGTACTTCCTTTGCTGTCGCATGTTCTGCCAGGGGGCAGCAATACAGATTTTCTGCCAAGCTCGTCAGATAATTTCTTTCGGCGAGCGCTCGGACTCTTTTTATGCGCTTTCGAGCGTAGGCCGAGCAAAGTTAAGGCTCTGTATGGCCGAAGTGTCATCGATAGTTTAATTACCCGAGTTTGAGGTACATTCTCTCGCGGAAGGTATCTATAGGCTGTGCGTCCTTCACAGAGGACAGTGCGGCCCTCATTGAATTTGCATATTCTCGCGGAAAGTCCGCGATGATGGGGTTGCGCCGCAACGAACCGATGAAAAAGTCGCAAACATTCCTTAAGCATCGTTTAGAATTTGGCCATTTCCTCCGAATATCTGCAAGCAGACATGTAACCAGCAAGCTATTTTTGCGGTGTCCGCTTGCCCACAAATCGCATGGTCGCTGCCCCCCGCGATCATCTGAGTAGTCGATGAACCTCAGTTTGCGCCAGAAATGAGCGTCATGAACTCTCTCTTAGCTATTGCCAGTTCACTCATCAATCATTGTATCACTCTTCCATAATTTGTTTTTAACTTATTTTCCTCCTAATGAATGTTCGTGTGCCGTGTGTATCATAAAAACGGAGATCGAAGATGTATCCGAGGCAAGGACACAACACATTCAGGGTGTCCCAAAAAATGTGCACACTGTTTGATTGTAAATAACTCTCTTGTAATTAAGTATTTCGAGAAACTTTAGGTACCATTTTGTAGAGCGAGGTTCAACTTAGATTTACAGTGTAGAGCGGGTCGCCGATCTCTCATTCTTACTGTAGGATTACGGTAGAAACTTTGAAGAGCGTTTTGAGCCATGAAAGGTCATATTTTGTTCCAAAAAAACAACCTAAAAAGTCTCACACTGGGCTATTAGAGTTGCTGATTCTAAATGTGAAGTTCGCAACTTTTCGTAATGCTTCATTAAAAAATTATGTGAGGTAAGCAATAGCGGCCTTTTTTTTGATTTTCTAAAAAGTGCGCTTACACCGTTTAGAAAGCTTCGCAACATTGTAAAGAGTTGGATATTGAATTCAGCGTCCCTATTACACCCTATTACACAAGTTTCCACATTTTTTGAAATTTTTTGAAACGGCCGCTTTTTTCACATTGACACCATATGTTTCAAGTTTCTACCGTAATCCCACAGTGGGAATGAGCGATCGGCGATTCGCTCTACATTGTAAATCTAAGTTGAATTTCGCTCTACAAAATGGTACCTAAAGTTTCTCGAAACACTACGAGAGAATTTTCTACAATCAAATAGTGTGCACATTTTTTGGGACACCCTGTACATTAAATTTAAAATTGAAAAAGACATAGACTGTAAAAAATATTCATCGTCTTGCTAGGTTGAAATTTTTCACAATGCACTTTGCGTGATTAAGTATCGTTATTTGATGTGTTACGAATAGAGTGCGCATCATAAGCTTTATATTTTTCTTCATCGATTTACCGGTTTTTAAGTTGAGGAGACAAGGCTTGTACAAGAAGCACTGATTAAAAATTATTCGAAGTCATTATATGATTTATCTTTTTGTTGCCTTTTTTTCGGTACCAAAAGCTAAGGCGCATATGGGCAAGGGGGATGATAGTGATCCGCCTGCTTATCGACTTGTTTCATTTCGTTATAAAAACCCATATAAGTGAAAAGGTAGAGAAGGGGACGTTACAGATTGACCAGTCATCAGTTCAATCACTTACCGCAATTTATACTTTAGAATAGTGCACGAGAATAGTTTAAAGGAAGAATTTGTAAAATTATTGAAAAATTGTTCAGCTGTACAGCGTGATACTAGTCATGTTTATCAATTTAGACTTCTATTCTTGATTGGGACAGAAAACCTTTCTGGTCTAAGTGATTGTGCAACGCAGTTGGCCACTCCCTACATAAAATGGGATCTTTTCTCAATTCCCTGTGCTTTGCGAATGGTGATTTAATACATCTCAATTTATACTAAGATTTTGTAACATGATCATATATTAGGTGGGTCCGAAAGTTCGTGCCGTTTATTAGACCTGTTCTAGAATCGTTCAAAATAAAGATAGACAAACTGTTCAAACAGAATCCAATGCAAACCTTCTTTTTCTTTCTAGCAGCTGTGTGTCCGTTGTGACTGTTTCGGCGAGCGCTTAGATAATTTCCGAAAATCATAACCCTTTTTATCATGTCTGACTTTCGCTAATTTTTAGAATTCATATTAGACTTTTGAAGGTGCTCTAATAACCAACTGATAAGGCGAACCTTTTTCAAATTAATGCAATTTTTGCATCTTTCTATCATGCTTTGTAGACTTACTAAATTATTTTCTGAAGTGAGCAATGTTTATTTGGCTCATTCCAACCTCGCAAAACATCATACGTTGAACAGTTTGAGTATCGTTCGATGCATCTTTTTCTCCCCTTTCTAGAATCTACCTTTTCTTCGCGAAACACGCGACTTTTGCAGACAAAAATGCTGTACTTCTCAACTTTACGGGTGCGAAAGGTTGTAGCCGAAATTCCAGAATCTATCCATTTTCACATCGTAATCGCTCATTTATTAGGCTGTCCGGAAATTAATGCAGGTTTTGAATTCAACCGCAATAAGTCATACACTTCTCATTCCCAAGTAGGTTGCAAAATACTATTCAATAGGGCAAAGCAAGCTCTACAAGATGGCAATCTTGTTTTAGCTGCAGCTTTGATCCA